TGCTATGGAAATAGTGATAGACTTGCAACATTGCATCTGGGAAAGGGGCTGCAGGATGAAAAATAAGTCATCTCCTACAAAGAAGTGTAAACAATTTGAAATACTGTCAAGGCTGGAAAGTGAGGATTGAGCAGCTCCAGGCCAGATATGTCTTATCTGACCCTTGTAAAGTTAAAGCATAGCAAAAGGAGTTAGGTTCATTCCAGAATGGTACAAGAAACCAACCACTTTTTTTAACTGAAGGCAAGGATTATGGCAGCATTAACCAACTTAAACTGACTAGAAGGGTTGCAGGAGATTCTGAATTCATCTGGAGTCCGTGGTTGAAGTCAATGGCAATTTTATTGAATAAATTTACTCTTTAACATTTCAAGATATTTTTGTGCTATTTTGGTAAATATATCTGTTAAAATGAGATGTCAGTGTCATTTTCATTTTTGCATAATTTAGACAATAATTTATCCATTGCATCCTCTGTGTGTGTGTGTGTGTGTGTGTGTGTAACACCCACTGTGAGCTCCGTACAATTTCTCCGGCGGCCGTTCTCCACGCTGTGATGTTGCCGGGGGTTGGTTGAAAAAGTCGAAGTCTCAAGCTGGGGGCACAAGATAAAGCATTGGAGGAACGAACTTCCACAACTTAGATGAGTTTAATCAAGCTTTATTTCGTCCAGACTTAGTCTTGCCGTTGGGGTAGGCGATGTGACACTCAGCTCTAACTCTAACTAATGGAGATCAAATGCCGAACCGACCGACTCAGACGAACGGAGTTTCACTTCTTCAGTGTGCCTGACACACGTGGCTACTTCAAGCACACACCCGGCTGAACTGCCCGGCTCGGAAAAATCACTCGTATTTATATTGAACTAATCGGAAGTCCCTAGACCACCGGGTGAAAACAAAAGATAAGCATTGGCGACTGTAAGTTAAAAATTTCAAGGTACTTAAATTTTGCTTTCTTTGATGTGTAAAAATCCTTGTCTGTAATCGGCCTCCCACGATGTATTTTCCAGGATTTTTAAATCTTTTTATCTTAACAAATCTTCGTGTGAAGGCCGTCGGATGTTTTATAGCCCTTTTTTTTTTATTGCCTGGAGAAAGGGAAAATTCTGTTATCTTTTCTTCATTTCCTTAATGTTGCCGAGATACAGTAAAGAAGGTTTTTTTGACCTGGTCATTTAAAATCTATTTCCTAAACGTTTATCTTTTATCACATCTAATCACTTAGTCAAATATTTTATTGGATGACTGGTAGGATTTAACAGTAATCTGATGCCCTTTTCTCTTCCACAAATTTATTTTATAAAAAAAAAAGCGTTTATTTATTTATTTTTTTCCTTTTCTTTTCCCCTTAGTACTTTTGTTAAACGAAACACATGTTTTTAAACTATTTTTCTATTCTTAACTGTTTTCTATTCTTAATTTATTAAAATAAAATACATATTTTACAAATCAACTTTAATAGACGCCTAGTTATCGTGTCACATGTGTGTGTATATATATATATATATATATATATATATATATATATATATATATATACTCTAATGATCTCAGAATGTTTTGAGGAGGTATGAGACAAATACATATGAGATTTCTTTATAAATGAAACACAAAGATACACAGGTAAGGCAGAGACTCCTTGAAAATGAAACCCTTATGAACAAGCTGATACATTCAAGATTACTTAAAGCTAATCTTCATCTTACCTTCTACTTAACTCCACTGGTGCCCCTCCTCCTTCTAGTAATTCATCAAATCCCCCCCCCCAAAAAAAAATCTTACTAATAGTCCAGTTTCATACTCAGCTTCTATCATAGCTTCTTTACTACATCACAGATATTACTTCTGTGGAAAAATCCCCATTCTTGAGGAACCTGTCTGACTCACAGAGCTGGGTGTTATAAAAGTGGAAAATTGGAACATTTTTATAAAGTCTGTCAATCCTCTAAGCTTTACCATTTTAAGAAACCTCCAGTTACTACTTTCACACTGTCTTTTACACTAACTACTACATCAGCTACATTTCCAGACTGCTTAACTAAAACTATAGTAAGTAAACATTAATGAAGTTCTCATAAATGCTTTAGTTTATAAAAGTAGTTCTAAATTTTTTATTGATTTCCATTGAAAAAATGACCACTTGTATAACTGAGTGGCTATGGTGAATGCCTTAATATCTTCACAAATTATTGAATGCTGCATAGTCAACTTATAATTGAAATGAACTATATATATATATATATATATATATATATATATATATATATATATATATATATATATAATAAAATCAAACTTCTAGAAATGTAATATCTGTGCTGTGATGTCATATTAAAAGCACAATTTCTTTAAACAACACTCCAGTATTAAAATTTTCTTTGGGTATCTTAAACAGGTTTTAAGTATTTATAGCTTGGCCAGCATTAATGTCCAATAATCCTTAGTCTTTAATAATTTAACAACTGACTGCAAGCTTATGGCTATTTAATATTGAGAAG